CCCTAAACCAAATAAATAAACAGAATACCCAATGCTATTATGGGCTGCTATATATTACTGATTCTCTATTAGTTTGTTGAAAGAAACATGGAATAAGTGCTTGCCTGGCAAGTGCAGGGTCCTGAGTTCAATTCCAGGACCCGACAAAAGAAAGAAAGAAAGAAAGAGTTAATGCTTATATTGTTTGATCAATTTTGCATGCTTGTACCTGGTAATCTGAGTGAGTAACTACTTTGAAGATAACAACATGAAATATAATAAGCATTATTAATTTTCTAGCATCTGGTTTTGAAATTCTGTATCATTTTTATTGTAGTTTTCCCCTCTCTTTAATAATAAAAAAAGAAAGAACTACAACAGTCCTAGAAGATAACAAAGGGGATAATCTTCATGGTCTACAGTTTGGTCATTTCACTTCAGATACACTTAGATATACTTCAGATATTAAAGGGAAGATCCATGGGAGAAAGAATTTATATCAAATGTACCACTCTTCTAGGCAGTGTCAATATTGTTGTCCATGTATAGGCGTAGAGTGTACATAGGAATCTTTTAGCTCCTTACTCAATTTTGTTGTGAAATTAAAACTAGTATCAAAGAAAGTGTATTTTCATAATTAATTTACATATATGCACACATAAGAACAGCAGTTGCATTGGTCAGTTGTTAGAATATCAACAAGCCAATGTGATTCAATTTATACTGATTATGCCTATGATTTTGCTAATCAGCTGAATTTATATCTAGTGATTCCTTATGCATATGACAGCACCTTCAATAAAAAGAATTTTACTTATATCTCCCATCACCAACTGAATCAAGAAGCTTTTGTTTCCAAAGAGACAGACAGAATTTTACATATTCAGATACATCAACTTTAGGAGTGAACTAGTATGGTCAACAAAAACAGTATAACAATTAATACTATAAATCGATCCACCAATCAAACAATCCTTTATTAGTTGCCAGTTTTTATATGTAGAGTATATACTGTTCTAAACTTTGTTTTGTTGTTCAACTCCCTTCCCAAAGCCAGTATCTATTGCTAGAGTCAAATAGTACACAAGGAGAACTTATCCATTCCTTCACTGCAAGGCTTTATCCCTATGATTACCTCTTAACCTTTGTAACCTCATTATAATCTTAATCTTGAAATTCACACAGATGAACTACACAATAACCTATTTTTTTCTGCACCAATAATCACATTCCTTAAAATGAGTTCTAACATTCTCTTTAACGCACATTTGAGTCTGTAGTACCAAAGGTCCTCAGGACCGCAGTAAGATGGCAACAGGTATAGTACTTGTAACAGTCATAATTAACCATTGCATGGAAATCCTCCTTGATAGGAGCATGACCACTCTGCTAGTAGAAGCTGCTCTGCCGAGCCCCACTATCATCTCTATGCTGTCTCCCATGTCTGTGGACATTATGCTAAACAGTAAATATGCTAGCTTTCTCTGGGCTTGAGACCACGACAGCCCAGCGGGGCACATTCTCTAGCCTGGACGCTCAGGACACTTGTCTCAAAGTGACTGCAGATTTGCACATTCTCTGTCACTCACCCTGCTTTCCTGAGTGAATGAACAATATGCAAATTGCTTGTGATTCTCAACCATTATACTCTACTGCACAAACTGAGCCACAGCTTCCTGTAATTGGTGCCCGTGACTCAGCTTTCTTCTCTTCTTCCACCAACGAAACTCTGCTTGCCCCGCTGATATTGCTCAGCCACATTTCTAATCTCTTTCTCGATTTCATTCTTTCTTCTGTCAGAACTGAGACCTTAATCTTGCCTGAAAAGTCCAATTCTTCTCTATCTCCTGCAAAAGCTTTAAAAAGTTTCTCTTACCCTCCAAGTTGGGCTCTTCTCTTCCACTTTCTAAACAACTGTTTTTCTTGACTCTTATAAGAAAATGCTGCTCTTTTCAAGCTTGTGCTATTCTCACCAAGACAGAGATTGCTAAAATCCATTTCTTCTTTTCTCCAAGTTACTAAGATTTCATGGCCCAGCCTCTATTCCTGAAAGATGTGGTCTTGTGATTTAAGTCAAGCTAAAAGAATGTTAACAATCGTGGCAGAAAACCTTTCAGGTCAAATCTCTCCAGGGGTGAAGATGTAGTTGCTGTGTTCACTTTTCCCATTTTGCTGACTAGATGCAGCTGACAAGTAATGCTCAGTGACATGAAAGCCATAAAATAAAAACGCCTGGATCCCTGATTTGCTAGTTGGATGAGGAGTAGGTATTTGCTGACAAGGAACCTGCACCAACAGAGGGAAAATTAGTAGTAGGAAAGAAATTTCTATTGTGTTTGAGTCGTGGCTTGGAGCTCTATTTTTTGATGCAGCAGATATTGCCCTTATGTATACACAAGAAAGCCTTTCATTGCCATCTATTAGCTGCTAATGCAGTCTATTGCCTTTATTATAAATATTAATATACACTTTTCCCATTATCATTACACTACCACCATCATGAGTAACTGTATCATCTACACTGATGCTTTGTCTAAAATTATGTCCTCACAAGTCCTTGACCTCTAGCTTCAAATTGCTTACTTCTCCCATTCAATTTTGTTATGTATCTCCACAAGCATTCTTTGAAAGCTGTCATATTCTATCCTTGCATCTTCTTTAAAATCAGTATCAACCAAGCTGCTGTACAAGCACAGTCTTCTGTCCATGGAACCAACTTTTTCAAATATTTTCATGACTCTCAGCTGACCTTATCCTTTCTGCACTTTCTTCCGCATCCACCTGACACTCCATGGTGCTTAACTAGAACTTTCTCCGGCATTCTGTTGCCCTCCTGCTGCGGTGTAATCACATCTACCTAGCAAGGCTTCAGACCTGCAGGCATTGCACTGTCTGCCTTTTCAATGATGTAATCCCCAGACAACACAGCCCAGGAACTGAAAACACAGAAAGCATCCCAGGGTAAAAATGCAAGTGTTGATCTCTCATTAACTCTCAAGACTTCCAGGAATACAACAACCAACTTGACATCTCTCAGACTTCAAGTTTCCTACTTAATATAAAAATATCTCCAAAGTTGTTCTTTGATCAATATACTATTTATAATAATTAGTTCACTATTTATTTATTTACTTATTTATTTAATGTATTTGGTTGTTGTAGGCTCTCACTATGCAGCTCAGACTCATAGTGACCCTCCTGTTATCAGCCTCACCAGCGCTGGGATTACTGGCATGCACCACTGCACCCAATCTCTGTGGCTAATTCAGCCCGCTCCAGGGGTGGGTCTGGCAAAACATGTGGTACCAGGGATGGAACAATGGTTCCTGTGCTTGTCTAAGTGTTCTTAAGCAGGTGCTACAGTCTGCTGAGCTATCTCACCAGCACTCACCTCCTATTAAAATATTTTTTTACCATTAATTTTTACCATTAATTATTTTCAAATATGCATCTATTTTACCTTCTCAATATCTACCAATCCCTCTTCATCCTTCCTACCACCATATTAGTCCAAACTAATATGAGCTTGCCTGGAAAGATCTTAAGACACTTCCAACTTTACATGAATTCTATTACTTTTATAGTTTTTTAAATCTGTAAGTTCACTAAACCTAAAACTTTATTGGCCTAATTTTACTAATTTACTTCTACCATTTTTCATCTTTCTTTGGTTACAGTCACATAATAAATATTCACTGAGTAAATGTGTGGATAGATTCAGTGAATTTAAACAAATATATAAGCATTACTACAATTCACCATACATTTAGAAGCAAGCATTCATATCTCTGCCATATAAGAGAAAAAAAGATGACCCACAAAAGCCAAGCAAGCAGAACCTGAGGAATTTGGACTCAAATTGAGATCTTTCAACATTTGTAGCTCTTACTCCTGATTCCCTTTTCATGTCTGAACTGTGACACATACTGAACTTTGGAGAAATCCTCTCGTGTTGCTTGATTTATCATAAAGTTTCTGGTTATCTCTTCTTTTTAATGAAAATTTCTTTCAATATAGAAAGTAGTGCCACAGAATTTTCTAACACTTTAGAAATGTGCCATCCCCTGCAGCCTCTTTAAAAAAATATACTAAAATTTTGTAAATAGAAATATTTACAATCCCACATGGCAAATTATGATCAATACTGAAGTGTCTCCAGAGTAATCCTCATGCAAAAGAAAAAGGAATTAGAGTAGGAAAAAAACAACATTTTAAAACCATTTTAAAACTGACATTTAAAAACTATTGTTTTCTATCATTTTTAGGTGTTTTTCACATTCTACACATTGTACTAAGCAATTTATAAGTGCACTGAAATAGGAACTATTAATATCCCTATTTTCAGGTAAGAAAGTTGAGAATTAGAAGAAACAATCAAAGCCAGAGCCAAATCCAAATTCTTTAGGATTGCAGAGACACTTAACATTAAATTGCTTTCCAAATAAGTCTTTCATTTTAAGCCATTACTTTGTAAAACTGAACTGAAATATTTTCTTTAGTACTAACAGCATCTGATAGTGAAACATTTCAATTATAATCAGATGGGGACCAAGAACAATAGGTATATTAAAAAACTTAACTTTGCAGCATGTTTAAAAGAGCAAGTTATTTAGTCTTACCCATGAATTCAATCCCCAAATGGTCTGCTACATCGAAGTCAGCAAGCAAAGGAGGAAACAAAGAAAGAACAGATTAGAAAATGTAAGTCTATAAAAACAAAATGCATATATTGATATTTAAAATGCATAATTACAACTTAACAGTGTTTTGCTTTTCTTATATACCAATAATTGTCACTATTGCTCTCCTGGTTCAGTTTTTAACACTGAAAGAATGAAAATAATTCATAATTAATGAATTTATTACTAATCTAAACAAAAAATTGTCTAAAATATGTGGGTAAAAACTGTTCATTAAGTGTTTCTATTCCTTTCTCCCATGCTGGATACCAACTATATACCCAAGGTTTCCTTAAGAAATTTTATTATAACGTGAAATCAATAAAATAAAACATGGAGTAGTTGTATATATGCAACATTGTGTACAGAGGGAAGATGTTAAATTGTATTAAGATTATCTTTTATTTTTGGTTCTATAACAGTATGATTTTTAAAATTTCAGTTTTCACTGCTCTTTGAATTGATATTTCCAAAATTCATATTAATGTTATTTGATAATTGTATCTAATAAAATTTTGGTTATTCCCAGGCAGAAAGAAAGAGAGAGAGAGAGAGAGAGAGAGAGAGAGAGAG